GATCAACACTTGCTATTGTACTTCCCCAATCCTGGTAGATAGAAATTTATCACTGCAGTTGTTAGTGGCAGGCAGTGAGTTCTCCAAAGTTACCTCCTCCAACCCCTCAAAAAACATTTAATAGGAAAACTGACATCCTTCTTATCAAGAGGTTTAATTTCTTTTCTGAATCTGTCAGTTACAGCAGACCCAACAGACATGTAATCCCGAGGGACAGTTTGGATATGATGTCATTTTCAGTTTTTTTTTTTTTCCAAATTTCTTTTATGAGAGTGAGCGATGTGGGTGGGAGAAACAATACTCTCAATAAGGTCTCACATGACATTCCCCCTCCCCCATCCTCCAGGACAGACAGGATTGCGGGCATGCATGCCAGGCATGTGCAAATCAACTGAAGAATCAAACCCACAATTCTCCATATGGATCCAGCATCACTGAACAGCACATTACCTCAGTGCCATGCGACAGCTCTAGTTCACTTTTACAAACAAATTTCATAATTTTTCTTGCCCCACATACAAGAGAGGGTGGGATAGCAAATGTTTGCTTTTAGAGGTGAAGGTGGCCCGTGTCATCTGTTTTAGTGTTTTTCTGTTGCTATAAATGATTGGCATGGACTAATTCACAAAGAGTAAGTGTTGATTCATTTCATGGTTCTGAAGGCCCAAGTCTGAGGGGCCACATCTGGTAAGGGCCTTTTGCTGGTGGGAAATCTTGCAGTTCCAAAGCAGTACAGGGCTTCACATGTGGAGAGAGCAAAAGTGTGTGTGCCAGCTCTGATCTCTCTCCTTTTTATAAAACCATGAGTAAAATCATGGGGCCTTACTGTGATAACCTTGTCTAACCCTAATTATCTCCCAAAGATTCCACTGTTTAATACCATAGTCAGATTAAGTTTCTACCCTCTTAATACTGTCATAGTAACAACCAAATTTCAGCTCAAGGATTTCTGGGGGGCACAATTCAAACAGAGCACCATCCAAATACTGGGAATAGGATTTAGATGTAGAAGAACAGCAAAAAAGAAAAAACCCCACAGGGGAAAAAAAAGAGAAAAAATCCATTAATACAAATCACATGGAATTTTCAGGATAGAAGAAACCTAATTAGATTCAGAAAGTACAATCTTTTTTTTTTTTTTTTTTAGAGGTTTTTGCCTTAGGGTGTGTGTGTTTGCCAGAGACTGTGAGAGAGAAAGTGAGAAATCATCTCCTGATCTCCTGGGGGGATGGCCATGCCACAATCCCTTCTCCTCCATTCTCTTCCTGGGATTTTGGGCATGCAGGTACACATGTCCAAAGTGATTTTTAAGCCACCAGGTTCAGGACTCAAACTGTGGTCGGCCATGTGGGAGTCCAGCGACGTAACTGCTACCTTTCTGTTGGCCCCTTATAGTCTTTTTTTGTCGAGAGGTTTTTGCTATAGGGCGTGTGCGCTCACCAGACAGAGACAGAGAGATAGAAAGCGAGAAATCACCCCCCAGTGGGGATGATCACGCTGCAATCCCTTCTCCTCCGTTCTCCTGTTGGGATCTTGGGCACGCACGCACATGCGCCCGGCGTGAGTTTAAGCCACCAGGTCCGGGACTTGAACTGCGGTCGACTATGTGGGAGTCTAGCAACATAGCCATTACGCTAACTGCTGGTCCCTAAAGTATAATTTTTTAAAAAGTCCATTTTATGAATTTAGAGTATCAATATATGTTATATAAAAAGGGCTGTATTCTGCCTGCAGTTCCCCTTGCGTTGTCCAACACAGGCACCAACTTGCCAGCCTCTAAGACACTTGCAAAAATATTTGGGCCCTATAATTACATTAAAAATAGAGAGCTAGCCCATCTGTGTTGGTGTGCACATCTATGATGCTCTGTCTCATGCTGGGATGTAGGAAACCTGGACTGCATTCCTGGTCTAATCTAAAATCCACCATGGTTATACACATCTGTAATGTCAGTGATCTGGGAAGGCAAACGCAGGAGAATCACTGCATTGCAAGACCCTGTCTTAATTTAAAAAAAAAAAAATAGTAAGCCATTTTACAAATAGTCTGAAAATCTTCAAAGACTTGAAAGAAAAGCAGGATAAAGTTTAGTTAGTTCAGGCATAGAAATGTTAAGATGAATTTTCTTTAATGTCACACAGTAGTTAAAACTACAATTTGTTTTGTCACCAGGTGCACTTTCTAATCCTTTTGTCAAACCAGAAACTCTTGGTCTCCATTTCCTCTTCTGAAAAACAGCAGTATGAGTTAGACTATGACTCAGAAAAGATTTTCAGATGATTAAGATTCTTCTAGAATCTCATTAGATGTTTCAATTCTCAAACATCCCTTGTCTTGTAATCTGCCTCTGATGTTTTGAACAACTGTTTTTGTAGGATTTTAAGTCATTTAAAATGTATTTCTTCCATGAATGAGGTGAGAGGAAAGAAAATGTATGTAAGCATAAGAATGTATTCCTGACAGGGTCTTGATGTTGTGATTCAATGCAAGCAATCCCTGGATCATAGGCATGAGCTTGCCCAGCATACTCAGGGAGTATCTGGACACAAACCCAGAACAGAACTTTCCCATGTGGGTCAGCCTTGGAGAGCACTATGTTCTACCACAGTATTGCTATCCAGGCTCTCCTAGTTTAAAATAATTCATTACCACAAAAACATTATACAAGTAACTTTAAAAATCATTAGTGAAAAAATATGGTAATTTATTATTCAGATCCATAATACTAACAAGTGACCTTGAATACTTTGTCCCTATTTTTAATATTCTTTTAAAACCCAATTTGGGACCAGCAGTTAGCATAATGGCTATGTCACTGGACTCCCATGTAGTCAACTGTGGTTCGAGTCCTGGACCCAGTGGCTTAAACTCACGCCGGGCACATGTGCGTGTGTGCCCAGAATCCTGAGAGGAGAATGGAGAAGGGACTGCGGCATGGCCATCCCCCATGGGGGGCTGATTTCTCACTTTCTGTCTCTCTGTCTCTCTCTGTCTGTCTGGTGAGTACACACACCCTATAGCAAAAACCTCTCCAAAATAAAAAAAGACAAAAAACAAAATCCCAATTTAAAAATAATCATAATGTCTTTGTTTCATCATATTAGCCCAATTGGAAACAACTCAAGCACCCACCAACAATGAATGGATAACCAACTCCTCATACAATAGAGCCTAGTCAGCAAAAAGGGGGAATATATTATTGATTCTTGATCCATGGATGAATTTCAAAAGCATCCAGTTAAATGAAAAAAGAAAAAAAGGCCGGAGTCAAATGAGTGCATGTTGTATGATTATATTACATCAAGTTCTAAGGCAGTTGCCAGTTATGAGGATAGAAGTCAGAGCACTGGGTGGAAGGGTGTGAAGAGATGGGAAAGGCAGCCAAAGGAAAAATGGCTATTGAGAGTGCACATTTGTTAAAATTCATACAGTATATTTAATATCTGTTTACTGTATGTAAATTATACCTTGAGTTTTTAAATTGCACACACAAGGGCCAGTGTGTGGTGTGGTGGTTAAGTCACTGGACTCCCCACATGGTCAACCACAGTTCAAGTCCCAGACCTGCAGGCTTGCTTTTTCCCTTGCCCTCTCTCTCTCTGGTCAAATTCAAATAATAATAAATAAAAACAAATAATTATTTTTTTTGAAAAACAATTGCACACACATCCAGTAAATCCACAGGAATCTTATTTTCTGCTTTTGGATTCTTCAGGAAATATTAACTTTGCTATCAAAGATAAGTAAGAGTCTTGTAAGAAATTAAAATAAGAAATTGTCACTTAACAATTCTAAGTATAGGCCCTCGAAGTCTGCAAAACAAAACCTTTCATACAGGTCAACTACTTAAAAGTGTGTATGTATTCTTTGAAGCATCCACTGATGCTAGCAAATAGCAAAATATTATTTTATTGCTGTAAAATTAAAAATAGTAGACAAGCATATATAGTTACAATTCCAGAGCAGGGCAATACAAATATATAAATTATTGCAGTTTTCAAAGAAAATATAACAGCCAAATGTTTACATAAACTTTTTTGAAACAAACCTGGTTTTTACCACAGCAATTTCTTTTTCCCAAATACCTTAGCATGATTTTGTAAAATAAATTTCTAACACCAAAGATAGATTAAGTCAATGACCATAGTATATTCTACTCAGTTTAAAGCAAGGTTAAAACACACACACATAAAAGTAGAGATGTCATTTAACAGAAGTCACTACTGAATACTTTTATGTTGCCTCTTTTGCAAGTAGCAGGTTGGAAAAAAAATTGACATGCTTGAAGGAAGTAAAAAACACGTTTACTAAATTTCTTTTTGCTTTAGGTAGAATTGAGGGAAGTTCAACTAATACCTTTTTTAGGGGAGTATGATATTCATCTACATATTTTTTAAAAATTTCACTTGGTAGGCTTAAAATTGTGGAATATTTCAGTATTACTAAAATGCATTAATAACATAAGCTTTTTAAAATCAAAAGGATATTGAAAAATATGTCTTGCCAACTAGTCTCAAAAAATTTTAATGTTAGAGTCTTGTTCTATGGTTCACTTCAAGGTAATGAACCACAGCCTGAATTTGCTTAATAGGTCAGAATGCACCATAACATGGCCAACTGTCAAAGTATAAAGTTAAATGAAAATACTGAGAGAGTATCAATATTCCAATACACCATTCTAACCTTCTTCCTTGTGCCAAAGCCTTACTACTTAATTATTCTGGTAAATAAATTTTCCTCTTCCTCAAATAGTCATTTCCACTGACTTGAAGTTAAAAATGTGCTCAAACACTGAGATAAAGTCAATTATCTTTGCTTTAAAAGCCAAAGCTGAACAAAAGGTATTTTAAAAGTTTTGTACTTAAGTACTTAAAAATATTCAAATACCTTACTTTACTACAAGCAATAATAACGTGTCAATAATGAACCGGCATAAATTAAAAAAAAAAAAAAAAAAAAAAAAAAAAAAAAAAAAAAAAAAAAAAAAAAAAAAAAAAAAAAAAGAAATAGTATACGAACTTTACAAGGTACCATTTAAAAGTTTTCATGTACAAGTAAACTTTTATGGTCACTAACCTGAACCTCCTAATAAACTACACATATAATTTATTTCTTAAAAAATCCTACTTTAGAGCATATACATTTTGTATTACATTTTACAATGTCAATAATGAAAGATTTCTTTCAGAATAAAACCCAAACTGGTAAACATTAATACAAATAAATCAAAAAAACTTATTTAAAAAAATACTAGCAAAAACTGATTAACAATCCTCAACAATATAAAAGCCAAAGTAAAAAAAAATCAACAAAAAAAGAAAGCACTTTAAACCATTTCAGCAGCAAAGAATATATAAAATGAAAAATGGAGAAATTCCAACAGCCTGTCAAGATGCCAATAAAATATTTCAACTATATTTCTTAAGTCACTTTACAACCTAAACTTATTTTAAAAATAATCCTTAAATGTATATAAAATGGGCACTTTGTGGTGAAATGTACATACATTTTGAAAAACTAAGAACCTCTCTGTGCTCTAATGTTTTGTGTAAGAAACTAGATAATGGAACAAAACATTATTCTGCTACCGAAATCATCTACTATTGGTATCTTGAGTGCATGCCTTTATTAAGATATTAATTTCGATATTAATACTAGGATCAAAGGATAAGATGATAATTTCAAAGTAAACATAATTGATTTTTAGGTTACTTATAATGCTGAACAGATTTTAAAACTAATCTTTGGAGAGAATAATCTTGGTCAAAGTCATTTTTGACTTTAGATTTTTTAAACTCACTTGTTAAAATTACAAAATTTAATGCTCAGACTATATAATCTAAAAATTAGTTGGGTTTCATTCTTCTCAATCATATAAAGTCTGAAAATGTTAGTAATGGCTGATTAGCAGTCTGTCTCTTGCCATTTCTCAAACTGAAGCCATATAAGAAATTTTCTTCTAAATTTCCTGAAAAAGTACTAACAACTCTAAAGAAAGAATCAAATACAGAAACCAGTATCGGTGGTGTATCATGTTCTCTCAAGTCATAACTCAACTGTGTCCCTGGATCCTTATTTCTGCATATACAATAATTACATATTCAATCAAGAAAAATAACATAGGAATATATAATAAGTTTATCAAATATTTGGATAAACTGTTGTGCAAAATACTTCAACAAATTTTTTTTCTACAAATTAATCTGAATAAGTACTAGTGTGAGTACTACTAGCACCACAGAAATTTTTAAAGAGCACCTTTCCTTTAATGAGCTTAAGTAGAAATACCTAAATGGAATAAATCAAAGTTCCCAATTAAGACCTTAGTACATGCATAATATCCCACCCAATTGTTCCAAACTCATTAGTAAAGCTACATATTTGCCAGAAAACTCTTTAAGAGATAAGTAAACACTTTCTTTGGATAATACTATTGTATTCAGGACTGCACCATATGGCTCATATTCTGGAAATATGCTACTACTGACACATCCCAAACTTTAATGACTGTCCCTAAGTCATCTAAGCAAAGTCTAATGTGTGCAAGTAAATTGGCTGGTAAGATTCTTAAAGTCAAATTTGAAAATGTGACCATAATAACTAAGCACTAAGATACTGGCATAATCAGGAAATGTCTTTATCCATCATATAAATTTGTGTATTTTAGTATTGCACACATTCCATTTAAAGCTTATTAAAACTAAGGCAATGCATGCATCTCTCTGCCCTGGATTTTAAATTCATTTTGGGTGACTCAAAGAATTGAGAGAAACTGAAAGCATCTTTCAGAAGCTTCCTCCAAAAACTTGACAGTTATGTTATACTTCAAAGAAAGACAAAACAAAATGAATGATATATCAATGAATATCTTCAGGCCAATTAAATACATCTTAGCATTATGGAAAAATGCTTTCAACAATTAAAGCATTTCTTTGCTTAGTCAGATGATACTGGTATTCAGGACTAAAATCTGACCCAGGCCAGGGTACACTGCCACATTTAGGGCAGAAGCCATTCATATCTACACATAACACTGCCAAGTTAGTGAGTTTTTCTGTAGATTCTTTTAAGCAAAGCATCTACTTCATAAATACTTTCTAAGCACCAGCTGAAAACAGAGTTTAGAGCCCATTTTAATTCTCATTGGTTATAGCTTTTACTATAATACATTATTTACTAATCTAGCTGCTTGAAACAATCTACTAGTTAAGAACTCTTTGGAATATCTTAGGCAACTTATAAAAATATCCTTTTAAATAACAGGGCTTATTTTTTGAATTGGAATTTTAATTTTTTGTCAAGCAATCTATTCTTTATACTGTAAATTTTAGGCAAAATACCTCACAATGTTTCATTTGAATGCTAATTTCTATGATGCTGAAAACAGAATTTGGACAGTTTAAGGATCCTTAAGCTTTTACCCAAAGCGGCATACAAAATAATTGTAATTTTTTTCAAAGAAAGGACAATTTTCTAGCAGGTTCAATTTGAAGATAGTAATACATTTTTGACTTAAAAGTGAGGCAAGCTTGATTTACCCTGTCCAAATTCTAACACATCAAAGTTATTAGAATGAAAGTAATGATGAATGAAGTAGAAGAAACTCTTACTTCTATAGAGACAAATTGATACATGAAGACTAGATTAGCAGTTTCTTCTTAAACTAACACAGAACTGCTTTTGTAAGAAAAAAATGCATTATTTTTACTTGGATATTTGCTTTAAAAAGTTATTAGTTCCTCCTTCATAAGATTTATTAGAAATTAAAACAATTCAACTAGATAGATTTCTACTCCAAAATACATTTATCTTTGAAAAGCAAGATAATAGTTGTAGAAACACTGTATAGTAAGAGAATAAAATGAAGTGAATCTGAAATATGGGTGAATGTATTCACACATGAAAGTGTAAATACTATACAGAACCATTCAAATACCCATTTATAAAGAGAATGAAAAGGTACCCAAAATAGCATTTTTATATATAAAATTTTATATTAAAATATTGCTCATAATAAATAAGAAGTGATAGTATGAATTCCATTTCCCTCTTAAAAATTGTCTTTAGTAGTTCAGACTAACCTAAGAAGTTAATCTACTATTTTGACAGGTGAATTTACATTAAAATATGTTTAATAAAATCACATTGTAACAGTATATTTAAGTAGTCACATGTAGTACTAGTCAGGGAGGGGCATTGTGGAAATTATGGCAAAAAGATTCCCCAAATGAAGCAAAATTATTAACTCTAGTAGGCTAGAGTATAACGATCTGCTTTATTTGACAAGGATGTTAAGTACTGCCTGCCTTATGCTTTGCAGATTCAATGACCATAAAAAAAAATGGACCATAACTTTCTTCAAACTTCTTCAAAGTTCACATGCCTGGCACGGGTAAGGCATATGAAATAAGTGTAAGTTTAGTTCAGTTGTTTATGGGTAGGTGTGACTTGATTCCTGTTCGCCCCACTTGTAGACATGGTAATTTGGAATAGTTCTTAAGAAGCTGTTCAATGGCAACATGGCGGACATGGAGCTCTGAGGCCAAAGAATCTTTTTCTTGTACTTGGTGTGTTAACTCTTCAAAAACTTCTGTGAAGGATTAAAAAAATATATTTTTAGTTTATTTTTAGCACACAGAAAACTAATCCTATAATTTATATTTAAAGTACTCTAACTGAAATGCATTGTGCAAATTTTTGCAGTGAAACCGATTTGGTACCAAGTCAATAGCTATGTTATTCACAGACCCTTATCCATCTGATCATCCTAGGCTGTCTGTACCTTTTATATAGCCAAGTGGGATACTGTATCTGTCTTAAAGTGATAGTTAAGAGCCATAAAGGATGCCTACAGAGACACCCAGCATATTTAATGATAACCATTATAGCTAAGCCCCTTTTCTCAATAATAAATATATTAACAGGATCAATCAATACTTTAGTATGACTGTGGATAAGACATGCACATTAGTATCCAGGTTTGGAAACCCCTCTAAGAGGCTTTGAAATTAGATTACCAGATTTTTGAGTCCTTACTCCTATTCATGTGAGCCCAGGCAAGTAACAAACTTTGTTTCAATTTCCTTATGATTTAACACCAATGATAGTAAATGCCTCAAAAGGTTATTGTACATACTGAATGAGATCACGATCACACTTGTTAAGTATACAGAATAAATACCTATTGTGTTTTTTTTTTCACACACAGCCTCTCAAAATAATAATAATAACAGCAGTAATGATAAACAGCAGCTTTTATTTATCAATTAAAAGATTTTTTCTTTTGGAAGAAAAAAAATCCCAAAATATTATGGGTAAAATAATATGCTGTTTGAGATAATCCATGCTGTGGAGAGGACAAAGAGAATACATTCAAGTAGAGAGGAAGGCAAATTAACTATAGGCCAGCCCAATGATCTGTTAGTTGGGGGAGCCAGGTCCCACATGGCCAACCACGTGGTTATTATGCCAGGCCCGGAGGCTTGAAAAACGTTCT